ATGTATTTATAAAATGCAACAATGCATGTCCTATAACACCAAACGTTTTTTTAATAAGTTTGCAGTTGAGTATTTCACTGCTGCATTTCATTTCCACTCCGTTGATCAATTTAGGCAGATCTGCTAACTCCAACACTTTGAATTTCTCGAAGGAGTTGTTAATCCATATAACATTGTTCTCATGAAGTGAATCAGATTGATCAATAGTGTTCACAATTACTTGTACGCTATCAATAAAATAATTGTTAAATGATTCTGCAACATCTAGTTTATTTTTATGAATGACTGACTGACCATTTACCGAATACACCATAATATAATATATGGAAATTAGACCAGAATTATGTTATTTGGGTTTCATTTGTTTGATTGCATAATATGCTTTGTTGAGATTTGAACAGACTACTGGACACTTTAGATTAGATTAGATGTTGCAACAACCTCTACTCATTTCTTTGACCTCAGGCAGAAAATCTATCAGTAACCGTTTTCATTTTAGAGATAAGTTGCTCCACATCATTTCAATATTTTGTCAGAGTTGTATCGTCAGCAAACACGGTTATGTGAACATCTTTCATGTGCTTTGGAAGGTCATCGACATACAACAAAAACAACAGAGGTATAGGAACTGAACCTTGTAGTACACCAAGTTTCACGTTGTGACTATCAAAATTTGTACCATTACATTTCACCATTACCAGGTTCACCAGGATTTGAACAAATTTATTGAATATCTGGAAATCCTAGTTATACCAAATGCCTTTGACGCGTCAAAATGTGAAGAGAGACCATATTTCTTGTTGTCAAGATGTCACCAACAGCGACTCACCTTGGGATCGATACCGTTTTCATTGAAAATGGACCCGTCAAACTCCATGATTCCGATGATTTTAGCTCCTGCTCGGTGGAGGTACCTCATGGTGTGCAGACCCACGTTTCCAAAACCTTGGATGATGACGGTCTTGTTTTTCCAACCGGTCGTCAAACCGCACATCTGCATGTAATTTTCTTCGTTGATGAAATTCTCGATACCTGAATAGAAAAAGCGTCACCAAAAATAGGAATCACAGTCATTCAGTGCTAAGGGCCTTGTATACTAACCGTGGAATACACCTCTACCGGTAGCAGATACTCTGCCGTGAATACCGCCTTGGTTGATGGGTTTACCGGTGACGCAAGCGTGGCTGTTGATGTCTTGGTAACCGATTGTTTTGGCGTAGGTGTCCGCCAGCCAAGACATTTCCCTCTCTCCCGTTCCCATGTCGGGGGCGGGGACGTCGATGCTGGGTCCTGAAATTGGAAAAAAATCCATTGATGCCAGTATTGTTCAAAGGAATAGTGATCGAGGCATTGGCTAGGAAAGTAGTTGACCATGATAAGATTCAAATATATCAGAGATAATCATATAAATGAGCAATTCGTTCAGGCCAGAGAAGTTGACGTACTGAAACCTCCTGCTCCCGACATGTAAAATCACTTCGAATTCTGATATCTGTATTTTAGTGAGGTCAGGAGAATGGAAGGCTTTACACGTAGTGAGAATTCAACGTAGTGAGAATTTGATGTAGTGAGATTTCGACGTATTAAGACCCCTTGCTCCTAGACAAATTATTCTTCTTACGTCGAATTCTCACTACGTCGAATTCTTATTACGTCGAATTCTTACTACGTCGAATTCTCACTACGTCGAATTATCTTTACGTCAAATTCCCGACATGTAAAATTACTTCGAATTTTGATAACCGTATTTTAGTGAGGTCAGGACAATGGAAGGCTTTACAAGTAGTGAGAATTCAACGAAGGGAGAATTCGACGTAGTTAGATTTCGACGTACTAATACCCCTTGCTCTTAGACAAATTATTCTTCTTACTTCGAAATTCTCACTACGTCAAATTCTCAGTATGTCGAATTCTCATCACGTCGAATTGTCAGCATGCAAAATTATTTCGAATTTGAACATCCCTATTTTAGTAACGTTGGAGGAATGGATGGTTTTCGCCGTAGTGATACTTCGACGTGGTAAGAATTCGACGTAATGATACGCATCCGTTAGAGGTTACCTCTGCAAAATTAGAAATTCTGCGAAGTTCGAACCGTACATCTCTCATTCACAATATTACTACGTACTTACTAAGTGGCACGCTTGTAAATTAACAAGTTTGTTGATTAGTGCCTAGAAACGTCAATTTCAAAAAAGTTCATCTCCTCAACTTTGTTCTCATTTCTACACATTTATAGTTAGATGCTTACGTAACCTCGCGGCTATCTACAGCATCTTTGTGACATTAAAGCTCTCGATCAAGGCCATATTGTTGGTCCACAAATTCTTTAGTGGCCAAACTGAATGATATTTCAATGTCCGTCTAGTACACCTGCAAGATCTCTTTCGTTTGTTGACATCGGATTTTTTAAGTTTTAATGTGCCATCCACCGTGAATCAGCCTGTATAAATCTCATAGGAATTCATGTTACTTCTGTTAATCAACGCAAAAAGTGCCGTAAAAAATAGTGAACCTAATGGGCGTTTTATACTGCGATTTTTACGAAATCATAAGCGCGCCCGTGAAGTTTCCAGGCATGTCTAGTTCCTATTTTATCGATTATCACAATTCCAACACCCTCGTGAAAACATTAACCTCCTTAATATTTACCAGATTTCCAAAAGAATGAACTCTGCAAGAAATTTCTTGCATGTCACCAAAGTTGCATTTCATGAAAATATCATGCTGTAAAACTAACATAACTTGCTGGAAAGACCGTCGTGTGATTTATTCACCAGAAGCCAAAGTTTGGCTTCTTCAGCCCAAAAGAGGCTGTTACCGACGAAAACATCAAAAAAGTCCACTAAATAATTTGGAATGCCTGCAAAGTGAAGTTGATCGAGATAGCTGAGGCTCTAAAAATATCACTCCAATACCGACTCCAAAGCATCCAGCGTATTCTCCAGATCTGTGCCCCAGCGACTTTTTTCTGTTCTCAGACCTCGAAAGAATGCTCGCTGGAAAGAAATTTAGCGCCGATGATAAGGTAGTCGTCGAAACTGAGGCCTATTTTGAGGATAAAGACAAATCTTACTAAAAAAATGGTATCAAAAAATTGTATGACCGACGTAATCGTTGTATCACCCTCGAAGTCAACTGAGTTGAATAATAAATGAAAATATATGTTAGCCTACGAACTGTTCAGACCAATATTAGTGGTGTATCATCATGAATCTAGAAGAGAATTCAAAGAAGGTACGAATCGAATTTATCGTTACTGATATCGTTACCACAATTTCCCGTCAATATTATCAAGCCTATTGCGGATGAAAATTTTACAAAACATTCGAAATTGTCACTATGTTTGAACAGATAATCTATCACTTTATAAACGTTTCGCTTGAATTGTTTGTTGAAGTAGCGATTTTCCTTGATAATCAAACAGAAATGGAAAACACCAAGTGTCACATCTGAAGTGTTATGTCCACTATTCAAACTCGATCGAGTGGTATAGATTATAGATAACACTTCCATGAAACGCTACAATAACAGCTCAAAGATAAGGATTTCAACACTTGACAGGTAGAATTGGAACAGCTGACGTGAAATGAATGTTACTATCTTCCGTTGAAAGTTGAAATGATGATCAACGCTTCATTTATTGCACTTCCTGACATTGTTATTGCTACACAAGCACTCTTGAACATAGTGGTTGTTGCAGTGAGACATTTCAACGTGGCTAGGCACCTGCTTTTTGTCAGTATCTATACAAGGTCTTTCCTAGTAGGTATATCGGTTGAAGACTGGTGAAATGGCCTACAAGGTCACCCGACTTGGGTACGTTAGATTTTTTGTTGGATCATTTGAAAACTACAACTTTCAGTACAACTTGAAAATAGTATTGAGTCGGGGTAAAGACCAACGCAACAATTAGTGTGAATTAGTTTTCAAGGTTATTTCTACTTTGAGTGCGAAATGAAGTTGACGGAAATACTATTACCGCATTTGTTGAATAAAATCAACATTCACCTAACCGTTTAGCTGATAGGCCAGAAAGAAATGTGTGACCGGAATTGAATATGTATAAACAATCGTTCACAATAAAATTCAATTTATCAATCTTGTATGGATAATTTGTTTCTATTTCAGCTCAAAATAGTTTGCAGATTATTTTTGGAGTTTCAAACTATACAGTTTTGTTTCCTATACGAGTATATTCATTTATTATTTCATACTACATTTAGATTTTGCATTTTTTGCTGTATTTATTCAACTGCTTGTAGGTTTGAAACTTATTATACTCTCAAATAAGGGTCCGCAATTCAGCAATCTAAAAGGAAATGTAATTCTTACATCGTACCGCTACCAGCAAAGTTACAAGTTATGACTATGTAGGTTGTTTAATAATAAAAGTCGTGCGCTCATCAAAATTAACAACTTTATTTTATAAGCAAAATACAACTCAACATTATACTTCAATATATCTTTAAAATTATTTCACTATTTCAATTGACCTCAGAAAACCGATTACACCGATTTCACCGATTACACCGATTTCACTATTTCAATTGACCTCAGAAAACCGAGTTAAACCAGGGATCCTCATCAAATTCCTACTTTGACTTCAGAGTTTTGTAAAATCCACACTTTAAACCACTCAAAACGTTATTAAATTCAACTTTGATTTCAGAATTTTCTAAAACCACCACTCCAAAGAATTTTATCAAATTTTGACTTTGACCCACGAAATTTCCTAAATTCAGAGTACAAACTCGGAATGTTAAACCCAGATTTTTGTGAAATTCCAACTTGAAACTAATGATTTCATAACTTTGAACTCCTAAATTTTTAATATTTCAACTGCATACATGAAATTTTGTCAAAATTTCAAATTCAATCAAGGAATTTTGTAAAATTACAACTTCAAACATGAAAATTTGTAAATTTCCAACTTCAAACTGAGAATTTTATCAAGAATTTCATTGAGTTTCAACTTCCAACTTCAAACTGAAAATTTTATCAAGTTCCAACTTCAAACTGAGAATTTTATTGAGTTCCAGCTTCGAACCCAGAATTTTGTTAAATTCCAACTCCAAACACGAAATTTTGTAAACTCCAAACTAAGAATTTTACTGAGTTCCAATTTAGAACTTGTTGTATTCTAACTGCAAACAAAAATGTTTTAAGAATTTTATTAAGTTTCAACTTCGTAGTCAGAATTTTTTGAAATTCCAACTTCAAACGCGAAATTTTGAAAAATCCAACTCCAAACAAGAAATTTGGTAAAATTCCAACTTCAAACAAGAAATTCCGTGAAGTTCCAACTTAAAACTAAGCATTTCATTAACTTCTAACTTCAAACACAGAATTTTGAAAAAATACAACTCCAAATACGAAATTTTGTAAAATACCAACTTCAACCACGAAATTCCGTGAAATTCCAATTTAAAACTAAGCATGTCATTAAGTTCTAATTTCGAATACAGAATTTCATAGAAACTCCAAACACGAAATTTCATAAAATTCCAACTTCAAACACGAAATTTCATAAAATCCGACTTGAATGAACTCAGAATTTTGTAAATTTTCGATTTGAAGCCTAGAATTTTAGTGAAATCCAACACTGAACTCAGAATTTTTTTGAATTCCGACTGCAAAGTTGGAATGGTAGCTTAAGATGAAATAATTCCAAATATTCAATGATATGTTGATTCACAACTTTCTCCCAGACTGTTCATACCTCTGATAGTGAAACAACAGATCTATGCTTATTAGGAAAATTTATTTTCTCCTTCTTAGATACATGCTGAACTTGTATCAAGTTGAAGGATCTATGAAAAACTGGAATATTCGAAAGTATCGCGTAAGTCATCAAAAGCAATATTGGTGGCTTTTACACGTGCTCCCTATCACATTCATACTTATTATTAAACTCGTGTCGGCTCAGCCCTCGTTCTATTTCAAGATTTTTCAGCGGACAAATAAAATCGTCATAGGATTATCATCACACATACGTTTCGGACGCCTTGCCAAAAATTCGAATTAAGATAAGCGTGAGACCAAGGTCAGCATAAGTGAATCTGAATTTCAGTTACGAAATCAGGTATTAAATATAATAATAGTTGCTGTATTTTTTCCGATGAGAATGAAAATAGTAGAAGGGCAAAAAATAATTTTTAATGAATTCCGAAATCAGGTTAAAATACGATATTTTTCATGTCAGACTTTTGTCAGAGACTTTTGTAACATGCCTTTCAGCAACAGATCTAAAGGGTGTTTATGCAATTTACTTTCTCACAATACACAAGTAGCCCTTCTCTATTCTTTTCTAGAATCAACGTTCTTCATTGATTATCTGAATCTGACTGAAAACATTTCTTGTTTGACAAGGTTTAAAAAATTAAAATCAATAAGTTTCTCGAAAGATTCAACTATTTTATGGGTATCACTACGTCGAATTCTCACTACGTCGAATTACCGCCATGTAAAACTAATTCAAGTTTCGGCAACGTTCGTATTTTGGTAACGTCAGTGAAAGGCATAGCATTCGACGTAGTGAGAGTTCGACGTAGTAAGAATTCAATGTAGTGAGACGTTCTCATTTTAATAGTTTTATATCTATATGTGCCATAGCTCAAGCGTACAATTTTACGCTCTCTCTCTCTCTTTCTCTTTCTGATTCAACGCAAACTTCAACTGCATCGTAAATATACTTTCCTGTTTAGGTTTGGTTTCCGGATTTTGCAGTGGTTTCATTTGGTTACATTCTCCAAACATTTCAACTCAACTGAGGCAGTCATCTTCAGTTTCAGTTGATACGTGAAGAAGAGTACTTCAACCATGTCACTGAAGATGACTGCCGCAGTTGCAGTAGAAACGTTTGGAGATTATAACCAGAGGACCACAGGAAAACTTCGAAATCAACCAAAACCAAAACATTGACGCCAGACATTAAAGCCTACATTCCTATACAGGGTGTAACTGAATAAATGTAAAACATTTGAGGAGGTGATTCCTCATCGAAAAAAAGATAGGATCTTTCATATAAAGAAACTTCATTGAAACATCCTAAGATACAGCCCCTTAAAGGGGGTACATAAAATTTGTATAACAATTTTTTTCACAAGCACTGAAAAAGTTACAATATTGAAATTAACCTGACGATTTGTACTACCAAAAAGACACTTAGCCAGTAATTCATTTGGTTTACCCCATGGTTGTGAAGGGTGAAGAATGCAACCCCTAAAATTTATTTCCAATTTAACTTTTTGTCTTATTATTTGTTTACNACCCCCTTTAAGGGGCTGTATCTTAACAAGGGACGCTCCAATGAAGTTTCTTTATATGAAAGATCCTATCTTTTTTTCGATGAGGAATGACCTCCTTAAATGTTTTACACTTATTTAGTTACACCCTGTATACTTTCCTGGTACCAACTGTATGCCATTCATGATTATTTCACCTCCCTCAAGTTTCTTAGCTCAGATTTTTGCAATAATTCCATCAAGAAAATGAAATTCCGGTGACGCATGCATAGTTTAACTATCAATTTGAAATACACGGAATACATTCAAGGTTAGATTTGATTGGATTGTTTGAACAGATATTTGAAGCTTCATCATAAAATTCATTGTAAATATTTAATTAGGTGCCGTAACAGCACAATTATTTGTAGATTCAACAGTGGGAAGTTATTAATAAAATTATCTCTCTATAAATAGATATGCCAAATGGTGAACCACTCACCGATGAACCCTTTCTTCACCAGTTCCAAGGTGAACCTCCTGGTGATCTTCTCGAGTTCATGTTCAGAATACTTCTTGTGGTCGATCTTGACTCCGGCCTTGGCACCACCGAATGGAACATCCACGCATGCGCATTTGAAAGTCATCAAGGCAGCCAAGGCCTTAACTTCGTCTCTGGAAACATCCATGGAGAAACGCATCCCTGAAAGTAAAGAAAAATATGTTCAGTTTGGGTTAAAAGAGTTGATTAACTACTGAAAACTTTTTTCCCAGATTTCCCCTGTAGCGAATAAATATTTCGAGATATGTTTTTATTCCCGAATGATCCTTGATATGTTGTCGAACGTTCTTGTATATTCACGATCGCATTGGAGTATTGTCGCTTTACACCAGTCTTTCTCAATGTGGGCGATAACGCCCCGTTGTGGGCGCTGGAGGCCTATAGGGGGGCAGTAAAGGGCACAGAGAGAGGGCGGTGGCTAATTTGAAAATGTTTTTTGCTTTCAACACAAACTTTACCGCTCCTTTACGCTTAACGAGCGTTTCCTCGTGTAACGCCATCTAGGGGACTAGACAGTAACTACTTCCTGTTCAATAATTGTCAAACTGTACATTAGATGGCGGTAAGCTTCAATGCGAAGCGAGAAGTTTCTAGTCTCCATTCTCGCAAGTACTAGGCCTGCCCGCTACCTCATATAAAAGCGCGCGCGCCATCCAGCCAGTAATGTCATTCGACGATATTATGAAAACAAGTGAATTCAGTTAGCGACTAGCTAGGTGTTGCTGTACGTGTTGTGGTGGATAATGTGAGTGGTGTCATTAGCAAGTTTTTAATACTCGATTCTTTACTTCGGCATTTTTGAAGACAAAATTAAGTCGGAAGCAAAAAAGAAGAAACGGAAGTTTAGCGCGGAATATATGAAATATGGGTTCATTGAAACCCTCAAGGCTACAAGATCATTCAAATAAAATGCATTCAGATAAAAAAGACAAAAGTGTGGCTTATTTTCAAGAACTGAAAAAGAAAAACTCAGCTCAGCCAACTGTGTCAAAACTTTTTTCAGCTGCTTCTAAGCAAGACGACGACGAGCTTCCTACAATATCTCTTTGCTAATTGCTCAAACAGGTAAACCTCACACTATTGGAGAGGATTTAATTTTTCAGTGACTTGGCAGAACGATTCCAGGGCATTTTAAAATTGGAAATACCAGAGTGGTTGTTGGATCCTTTTTCAAATGTCAACACAGCAGAATCACCCCAACTGGGAGAAAAACTCATGGAACTGATAATGAACGAGGAAATAGAAATGAAATTCAAAAATGGATACCAAGAAGTTTGGCTACAAAAGCCAATTCCGCAATTGTACCCTGGATTGTGGTCTTACGTTCAACGATTTTTTGATAGCATTCCCATCATCGTATTCGTGTGAACGTGGATTTAGTGCTGTGACAACGTTGCTAACTAAAAAGAGAAATCGGTTGCAGATTACCGAACGCGGTGACTTACGGCTGTTTTTGTGTAAATTCGAGCCCGATATTAACAAACTTGTTAAAAATCATCAAATTCATCCTTCACATTAAATTAGTTCTGAAATTCAAATTGAAATGTTTGTTTTAATAACATGAATAAAACGTTTCCTGATGTTACAAAATGGTGTTTCACATTGCCCTCATCAGAAAGTCTTATTTTCACATGACACACATAATTTAATTATTAAAATAATGACTGCTATTGTGATTCTTAAGATGTAGTAAAGTAAAAATATTTGGTGAGCGCTAAAAAATAGTTAATTCTCGAAGTGGGCGGTAGACAAAATATGTTTGAGAACCTCCGCTTCACATGGACGATTCGAAGTTCAGGTGCTTGACGTCACACATGATACACTGCCAGTGGCGTTTCGTTCTGACGCTCGCTCGCCATGGACGTAATGATATTAAAGCTGTAAAAAAACTATGAGATATTGATAGAACATGAATTTCAAAGAGCACTGTAAATCACTTGTGAAAAATTCTTGAATCATGTAAGATTGCTCGCGTTCAGTCTACTCCCAGAAAGGGCAAACCACCATATCCTTAAATATTTGAAAAGCTTTAACATCTTGAGCGATCATCAATATGATTTTCGGAAACTAAAACAACAAGCGACCTTCTATCGTATGTCACCCATATTTAGAATAACGCAATTGAGGAACATGGAGAATCAAGAGCTGTTGCGCTTGATATTTCTAAGGCCTTTAACAGTGTGTGGCATGAGGGTTTGCTGGCCAAACTTCGATGCTATGGTTTGACGAAGCATTTCTGTGTATGGCTCGTCATTTTCCTGAAAAAACGTTTCCTACAAGTAGCTGTCGATGGATATTTCTGGATATTTATAAAAGTGAAGAAAATTCATACCAAACTGAAAAAATGTTTCATCAAGAACAGCTCGTAAACAATATTTTCAATAACGTCGACCTTGGAAAGACAATGGCGCAATACATGTGTTAAAATGATTGACACAGGGGTCAACTATCAATTTGTTCGATTGAGATGAAGATTCGAATCGTTCAACTCCTTGTTTATTCCTTCCAACTTCAATATTTATTCTGCCTTTTTATCTGTTATTCAACGTTGATAAGTTCATTTACCTTTTTTTTTAATCTGACTTCGAAGCTGTTAAGAATGATCAAGAACATCATTGAAATATAATACAATATGAAGGAACTTTTCAATGTCAAACAACGTGCCACCAACTCTCGAATTTGACCTTGGAACCGTGTAATAATTGAATTCGACGACTGTATCGGATTAGCCATAAAACTCATAATAGTGTTAGCAAATAGATGGTTAGATAAGCGAATTGCGTGACACTCCTTTTTTATCGACCAATAAAAACCCGATACGACATTTGCCAGACCGACGGTGTTTGTTGCCAGGTGAGGCAATTATGACGTTAATTAAAACATAATTTCTTCCTGAGTAGATACCTTGTACTTTGTTTATTCTTTAACCGAACTGTTCATAATTGTAATGGTTATCGCAGAGGTTCTCAACATTTTTCGGTTTTTTTCAATCCGCCCTGGCATCAATATTTTTTGGCTTGCGTCTCCTTAAATAAACCTTTTTTGGGACGCCCTTTATGCACCAGATTTTTTTCTAAACTTTTGACTTTATTGAGAAATTGGAAAACTTTCTGATACGGATTGGAATTTTGTCAGCATACACGATTGTTGGACCAAAAATTCGAGAATTGGAAATTCCATGAAAATTATGAAATTAACTGGAGCCGCACCGCACGCTTTGGGAATCACTGGGTCAACATGGTAGATGGTTGAGATCAAATCAAATCAAATTTATAAATGTATAAAAGACACATCATGTAAACTTATTGAACTAATCATAACAGAACCTACAAGCTACAACAGTACAAATACAAAATAATGCAGAGGAAGCTATCCGTAGACGGGGACCTGAAAGATAGAACGAATTCACCTATAGAATTATGGAACTAGGTACTAGAATACTGTGTACGTAACTGTTTTTTCCAACTGAAGGACGAATTATTTACACAAGCTGAGGGACTGCCAATGAGATCGCCACTTTCACCAGTCATAGCCAACATATATATAGAGTGGATTGAAATTCTGGCCATTGAAGAAACCCACAAGAAACCTCTTCCTGAAACACATCAACAGCGTGAGACCTTCCATCAATTCCACAATGGAGAGGGAAATCCACAACGAATTGCCATTCTCAGAGGTTTTGGTGAAGAGGACCGACACTAAGTGGGAAACATCTGTATACCGAAAACTCACTCATACGGGACAGTATCTGAACCACGAATCCAACCACCATCAATCGACTAAAAGAGGAATCATCAAGACTCTATTAGACCGTGCTTTTGGGCTGTCAAGTGTTATAAGAACAGGCTGAGATAAGTTTCGAAAACATAATTCGAACGAATATTTGAAAGATAAAAGTAATCTCGGTCTTTATCTTGAAGGGGACTGAGGTATAAGATAGTTGGTTTCGTTTTCAACAATTTGAGTCCATTTGTTCAAATTTTTACCAAAAAAACATTTCAAAAATTCATGAGTGCTGATAATTCAAACAATCAGATTTTTCTTTCGTTCTATTTCTTTTTTTTTTCAGAGTACCAAGATCAGAATGGACAAATATTCAACATAAAAAGTATGTAGCGTCCATACTCCTAGACTAGAAAAGCAGTAAAAAATGTCAGGAATATTTTCAATTCCTGAATTTCTTTGAATAAGTCTAGTTCATCATGTTGTTATTCAGTTAATTTGCTTCGATAATCCAATCATTGAAATTAAAATAAAGCGACACTGTATGATTTTGACAAAAACTACCAATCTGTACAAAAATTTTGATTCAAGTTCTACTCATGGAAGTGAATACTTTTCAAAAGTATGATAGAGATGAACGATACTTGATGAAAATCTATTGTTACTTATTCAAAAACACAATTGCAAGCTCACAAAACCATGCCACGTATTTTGCTATACAATAGTATATTCAGGCGTCAAAATACTGCGTCTTCGGGCATCACAATACTGCATATTCGGGCGTCACAATACTGCATATTCGGGCGACATAATACTGCCTCTTCGGTCGTCTCAATAATGCATATTATACTGCATCACAATACAGCATATTCGATCGTCAAAATACTGCATATTACGGCGTCCCAATACTGCATACTCGGGCGCCACGATGCTGCGTCTTCGGGCATCACAATACTGCATCTTCGATCGTCACAATACTGCATATTACGGCGTCGCAATACTGCATATTCGGGCGTCACAATACTGCATCTTCGGGCGTCACAATACTGCATCTTCGGTCGTCACAATACTGCATGTTACGGCGTCGCAATACTGCATATTTGGGCGTCACAATACTGCATATTACGGCGTCGCAATACTGCATATTTGGGCGTCACAATACTGCATATTCGGGCGACATAATACTGCCTCTTCGGTCGTCTCAATAATGCATATTATACTGCATCACAATACAGCATATTCGATCGTCAAAATACTGCATATTACGGCGTCGCAATACTGCATATTCGGGCGTCACGATACTGCTTCTTCGGGCATCACAATACTGCATCTTCGGTCATCACAATACTGCATATTAGGGCGTCAGAATACTGCATATTAGGGGGTCACAATACTGCATATTCGGGCGTATCAATACTGCATATTCGGGCGTCACAAAACTGCGCTATTATATAGCGAAACACGTGTAGCGGTTTGGTAGACTTTCGAAGAAAAAATTCCACATTAAATTGTGTTTTTTGAATACATTTCCACCAATTCACAAGTGAAAGTGTTAATTTAGTCTTTTAGGCTAATTAATGTATACTATTTTATTTAATTTTATTTATAAGGCTAATTANTGTTGACTTGGTTAGGTTCAATTTTAAAGCAGTATCAACAAACAGATTCAACCCATATTGTTGCCCAGTATTCATCTTGAAATTTAACAAGTTAGTTTTGGCTTCATTCAACATTAAATTGTTTTTCTTTGACCACATAATAACTTTTTTGTAGGTCTCTAGAGCTGTGTTTTTCGCGGAGTCCATATCGTTTTCAATAATTAATATATTAGTATCATCAGCATAACATGTACAGTGAATGGCCGAGTTCTTATTTAGGTACACTGACAAGTCATTGGCAAAAGCTAAATACAAGAAGGGTTCTAGAATGGATCCCTGTGGTACCCCATCCTCAATATTTCTTTCAGTACTTAGACTTTTTCCAACTTTGACTACTTGCCTTCTTTTATATAAGTATGAGTAAGTAATATTGATTATTTTGGCCTAAAATCAAGTTGACCACAAAAAATTCATCTTTGAATTTATATTACTTCAATGACACTTTTTTGTTAATTTCCTCACTTTTCCCCGTATCGGCCTGCACTGGAATGTATCTTTTATCTGGAACTTGACTATGGGGAACAGCTACCTCGAAGAAAAAAGGCCAATATAAAATAGAAATGATAAATTTGAGTTTTTTCACGCTTCTTTCCACTTCAGTCGTCAATCTATTTGACATTTTTGTGGAAACCGTTTGCATTATATATCTAAATACGTAAATAACTCATTAAAAACCCAATTAACATATAACAACGTCCTCATTATGTCGAGTTCGAAGACCTTTTTTATCATGACAATTGTTCCAGTTGATATTTTCAACAAAAAACCGCCTGCACGGTCGATATAATACCAACATGTGCAATAATTGACACTCTTGAATTCACGCCCTTTTAACATTGAAAATAATCAAGATTAGCTACTGGAGTAACCATTAACCAACGCAATTCACTCGACACAAAAAATAGACAAAAAGTATTTTTATGGGAATTATTGCAGTTTTCGTTTTACATTGACTAAACATTTCATTCCTTAAAATATTCAGATTGCGGCGTTACTTCCCAGTGCAAATAATTCCGAAAAGACAGAACTAACTTATCAAAAATAAGATTGAAGTGTGATAATTGTTTTTTTTATTCATAACCGACTGCTGAAAGGGATTCAACTGGTTACAACGTTGCCTATTGGTAAATAAAAATTACAGAACATTCACAAGATCACACGATAAAAGGTTAGTATTCCGGTGCCACATGGTGCAAAATATCACAAGATTTGACTTGAAAAATGCAATAATTCTCAGACAAATACGTTTTTAAGGCTTTTTTTATTGAATAAGTTACGGCGATTATTCGACGAATATTGGCAAAAAAAGTTTCAATAGTTTCACTAGGTTGGCTGTGCTATCTTGATATCTAGTTAGCAGATTTACTTACCACAATTATGTTCCGCTTACAACAAATTCTTAACAATTATTCGATGAACATTACTGGAGTTTTTTCCCAACACCAATCCGTTATTTTAACACCTCGACACGTGTTTCGATCACCAAGTGATCATCTTCAAGAAGATTAAACTGAAGATGATCACTTGGCGATCGAAACACGTGCCGAGATGTTAAAATAACTGTTTGGGGTTGGGAAAAAACTCCAGTAATATTCATTACTACACCAAAGGTTCCAAACAGTGCATCACAAGTATTTATTCGATAATAAAAAATCTGTTTTATTGATTCTACTGCAAGTGGCCTTGTAAACAGAACTTTATTGAAGTACTCACTTCCTGTTTACAAATGCATTTCGGAGTTCATTTCAGACGTTTTGGAAAGCTTCTGTATTCAGTTATTCATGAGTATATTGTGGTATTCATCGTTCGTTTTGAGATTCTTAGAAACTGCTGATTATTTAGGAACGGTTGGTCCGATTTCTAAAAATAAACCAGCAGTGTTGGAGAGAGGATTGAACTGTTCATTCCATTTGAAAAAAGCTGTTAACGTGATTACCACACTATTGTTTTTCTTACTGAAGTGATACCGCACTACCTACTGTTCTTCTTATTGAAAAGTACTAAAAATCATACCCTTTTACTCGTACGTACAATTTGCCGACATCGATAACTCATCCCATTCAAAAATTAAAGGTATAAACTAAAGTTTAAGAATTAGATCATCTCCTGATGATGCCAATTTGGCTGACGAGTCGAAAAGAGCATTGAAGTTCTGTGTAGAAAAAGTGTTTTTGTCGAATTAATAAGTAGTGATGAACCGTAAAATCTACTAAGGGTCAACTTACCTCCTTTGCAAGGTGTCCTGTGAGTACTATGTTGCGCCCGGTACCCTTTTATGATTTCGTATTGCCCATTGTCCCTCTTAATAGGGAACGCGACTTCAATTACATGATCACACTGTTCCATGTGAGTCAAAATACCCTTTACTTTGGCTTTTCGCTGATCCATCGTCAGCCTGGAGCCCTTCACCTTCCCCAAATCCTCGACGAGCTTATCTTCTACGAGTATGCAAGCCTTGTGGAAAAAGTACTCGACCATGTCGAAAAATCTCGGATTGGGATTGTTGGGCATATCTTTAAGTCTGTCGGGAATAACGTGCTCCGCGTAAGTCCGGCCCTGTATCTGGCTGCATGCTGCGGCCTTTAAAAGAGTGCCGATTTCCGTACTCCGCGACTTCATTGGGCTTAGTTTGGACAAAATCTTTGAATTCAGCATTTTGGTCGGTCGATTCGGGTATTAAAAAAGGAAAATTCACTGCGACAGCAGCTTGGGAATGGTATCTTACGTAATTTGTCCTCGTATCACCGGCTAAACACCGCACACTACCGAACACTATTCCGACTAAAATTAAAAGTGCATCCCAAGAATTTTTCTACTAATAACTTCACAAGCTGTCAGCTGACAGCAGAGGAGTGCGAAATTATCAAGCAGGAACCGAACGATACCGATTCACGATTGGATCGCCATGTGTGACCTTGAGCGCATGTGCAGATGACATAGGCGGCGACAGTCAGAATTTAAAACTACAACAAGGGGGTTTCATTTTTGACGTATTCGAGAGGATAACGGGGTGAATGACATATATATATTTTACATTATGAATGGAAAAGCTAGAAAAAAAACTGAAGACAGATATATGTCCACTATAAATAAGTGTAGTTGTGTTGTGTAGTTAAAAAAACCTAAATACAAGTTTTTGCAGTGATTACTTTTAAAAAAACGTTTCATTGACAAAATCATCAATATGATGAGGCTCTAGAAAAAAAAATAAATTGCATAGGGGTACTTCGAAGTTAGTGGATTGTTTAGTGCCATAACAATGATGAGGGAAGTAAAGTTCAAAATGATGTTTATGTATGCATAGATATGAATCTTTAGAAAAGTGAGAAGCTTCATCTAATCAAAGAAATACTCAAAGCACCTTTTTGAATATCTAAAACTCTGTTCAACTCGCTACTTCCACCCCAAACAACATATCGAGCACGTGAGTAATTTCAAAAAATAAAAATGTTTTTCCACTATCTCATGTACAGTTGAATTGTAGAAAATAATTGGATTTTTTTCAAGAAGCACTTTTTTATTAACAATGGTTCGATAATATTTCCTTATAATAATTTTCAGACCTTTGAGGCGCTAATTCATTGTTTGGAAATATTTTGAAACGAATAACATTTTTGACGTCTGTTCCATTCACTTAGAATGTTTTTTAAGGAATTTGTTTTTCAATTCCATATCTAATTTCAGTTGTTTTATCTGGGAGATACTGTCAAAAAAGTCAACATGATTATTTATAATGTCAAATATATCCTTCAGTTTCTCACCAACCTATTGGATATATTGTGGACGCTTTTGTGATTGTTCAAAAACAGCTGACCGTTACGACTGAATGTGACACATACTTTATGTTTGTGTTGCAGTTTGCTGTATTTCAGGTTGTTTCATTTATGAAATTGTGAAAGTAATATTTTTCAATATGATAAGTATAAACATGAAAAACTATGAATGAATTGTAAATGGAAGATTAATACATAAAATACACTTGGGGAGCTATTTTCGAATCACTCATTGTTTGAAACATCATAGTGCACGAAGCCGGAGAAATCAGCAATTTTCACGCAAAAGCACACGCAGGATTACGTGTGATTTGATAAATATTTATTACCTGCGAGTAATCGTAGAACTAACTCAAAATATAAAATTAAAGAATTCGCAGAATTGCGAGTGACAAGATTAATGTATGAAAATTGCATGTTGCGAATATTTCAAGAATATCAATTTATCAGGAATCATTCACAGTAACGTCACTGCCCATACATTACAAACGACGAGTTATTCGAAAATTGCCCTTCAGCGAGATACCAAGGCCAAAAAAATATATCAGAAGCAGAAGATTTTGAATTTGAGGTTATTGTTATTGATGATTTGGCTTTCTGTCATCTAAATAGACATGGTTATCCAGAAATATTCAAAAATCTAAAAAAAATAATTATTCAGTATTTTGTCACATATTATCTTGAAATAATATAAAATGTACTTATTCGAACCATTCTGTCCAGTTCTTTGTGGTAGTCATTAATCCCATCATAGCATCAAAATGGACATAACAACATTGTTCAAAGCCTGTGTGAAGACAGTTCGAACCAGAAACAAATCTGTGGGTTTGAAAGACCAGAAAACCAACATTCTCAAAACTCATAAAGATGTAAACTTAACCAAAGCGAGAGAAATCATCAAACAAATCACAAACCTTCAACACTTCTTTCTAGAAAATAAGGCAGCCTACCTCAATGTCATCAACTACTTGTCAACCAACAAAACCATGACAGAAATTGATCGTCAACAGATCGACACCATGGCTGAAGAGATTATCAGTAAGTGCACTAAGCTGATAAGTGAGTACAGAAAGGAAATCGCTTCCATTCCAAAAACGAAGCAAGCAGAAGAGCACTACCAGAATGTGATTGAAACGTTGGATAAGTATTTGAAAAATGTTTCTAAAATCTACACTGAAACCAAGGCTGTGAGAGTAAAGAGGGTCATTGAAACGCACAAGCTATCTAAACTAGAAACAAAACCTTCAGTTTCGAGAGTCGAGACGGACGGCAGGCAAGTCAAAGCGAACTAACTTCCTAATAAAAAATATTGTTATTTGGTCATTTTATGAGACCATATTAATGACCCCATTGAAATTAAATAACCCTTATAGTAGTGCAAACAGATTCAAATACTTAGGGGTCTGTCTACATTACGTCTAAAAAAGAGAAAAATATTACAAGAACATGTTTTGCCTTATACCCTAAACGACCTAAACTTTCATGGATTAGGCACAAAAAACGTATTTCTTAGAATATAGGATTGGATGTTTAATTTTTTGGTATTATTAAGAAGTATGTATATTGGTTTNTGAGAATATAAGATTTGATGTTTAATTTTTTGGTATTATTAAGAAGTATGTATATTGGTTTCAGTTGTTTTTGTTATATTAAAGTGATATATAGTTTTCAATAGTAGTGGTAATATCTTTGTATATAGATCAATCTATATACCTAAAGGTAATATTTATATTTCAGAAAAGTTGACGCTTCTCCTTTCGAGTTCTTCGGTAGTGACATCTAGTTTTCAATAGTAGTATTTATTTTCATATATCAGAAAAGATGATGCATCATAATTTTTCAACGTTCAAAATTACTTGCAAAAAGGGTATTTTTATATAGAGAAAATTTTCCGTATTTATATGCAACATCTTGTCAATTAATTTTTTGGGTTCCTTTTAAATTTTCATTGCCATCCAATTGAGCTAAAAACATTTTACAGATTACTTTTTTATAATTATAAACAGTTGAGTCACTCAAGTTTTAGCTTCTCAGCGAGAGTTGGCGTCCTAACCTTTCCATTTGTTATTAATGTATTACAAGATATATGGACAAACAGTTATTCAACTGGAAACAATGAAAAGTTGATTCTAAAGTCCTCATGTCCAGAAAATCATATTTCTTTCGGCATATACATCCTCTACACTTCACTAATTAACATTAAGTTTGAAAAGAGAACTTTTTTATCACTTATGGACCAGTATAGACACATTTTACAGATTACTTTTCTGTATAATTATAACAGTCGTGTCAGAAGTTTTATCCTCTCAGAGAGAGATGGCGCCCCAACCGTTCCTTATTTTAATGTCAAGAAAATAATGTTTCTTTCGGTAAATCCATCCTCTTCACTTTCACTACTTAAAGCTTGTCTTTGTATATGGACTAACCGTCTTGTCAATTGATTTGATTGATTTGTAAATATCAGTCTATATACAAAGTTTATATTTATATTTTCTGATATAGATTACAGATTACTTTTTTATGAATAATAATAGTTGTCACTTAAGTTTCATCCTCTCATCGAGAGATGGCGCCACAACATTATAATTCATCATCTCAGTATACCTTAATCTTTAGACAATGCACATAAACCACAATTATATCTCAAACGATATTCCACTATACACGCAACACGTGTTTGCTATACAATAGTTATATTTACTGTTTTCATACTATTGCGTATGATATACTTAATCAAACTTATCACCAAATATGGCATACCATAGATATGAGTTTCGTGCTTTAGGCCCATCATCAGTGTAACACAGCCAATGCAAGGATTGGCAACACTTAGTTGTTGAAAGAAGTACGAAACCGGCTGCACATTTCTGGTTGCTGTTGATGGATCTTGTGTTTACAACAAAACAAGGAGTTGATTTTCATGTCCTCACCTCCAAAAAATAATGTTACTCTCCCCATTTTCACTGGTGAAAGAGAAAAACAACGAATACAGAAAAAATAAATTTATTTCATAAAAAACGAAAGCATATAATTTTAAATAACTTGGTAATAAAGAATAGAATCGTTTTGAATGAACGAAAAAGTGAAGTTGCCTGAGTAATCTGACATTGTAAAGATATCAAAAGAACGTGTTGACTTTATATTGCATGCTCATTTGACTATGAGAAAGCTCTGATCAAAGTGGGTGCCGCCCGAACTCACTGTTTACCAAACACAAGAACGTCTTGATTTTTCTGTGCAGTGTTTGGCCGTGTTCAAACATAACAAACCGGATTTTTTGCTTCGATATGTGACAATGGATGAAACATGGATCCATCACTTCACTCCGGATTCAAAACAATCGCCATCTGAGAGGAGAGCAACTGGTCAACCTCTTCCAAAGCGCCTGAAAGCACAACAATCGGCTGAAAAGGTTATGGCCTCGGTATTTCGGGATGTGCTTGGTGTAATATTCATCGACTGACTTGAGAAGGGAAATACCATCAACAGTGAATATTAAATAGCGTTATTTGGGCGTTTGAAGGCCGAAATTGCGAAGAAATTACCGAATATGACAAAGAAAAAAATGTTGTTTCATCAATACAACGCAACGTGTCGTAAGTCGATCAAAACAGTGACAAAACTACATGAATTGAACTTCGAATTACTCCCAAATCCACCGTATTCGCCAGATTTAGCTCCCAGCGACTGCTGGCTGTTCGCAGACCTCAAAAAAATGCTCGCCGTTAAGAAATTTTGCTTGTTGAAGAGGTTATTGCTGAAACTGAGACCTATTTCGAGGCAAAAGATAAATCGTTCTACAAAAGTTGTATTGAAATGTTAGAGAGATGCTGAAATGATTGTGTGGCTCTCGATGGAAATTACGTTGATGAATAAAGCCGAATTCGAATAAAAAAAAGCGTTTTCATTCTTGGACCCGGGACTTTTCGGCCCATGTGTTAATTTAGACTCAAAAGAATCCCTTAAAAACCAGATTCATTGTAAACTTCAAATATTGTCAAAAACAGATGAATAATCATCTTGGTAATAATTAAAAAAAATCTCTCAAAACTGAGTTGAAGTGTACTCCTTATTCAATTCCTTGTATAAATAATTCCATGTATGAACCACTATAGTTTCTTGAGAATTATTGAATGTTTATTATTATTATTATCATCACAGCGAACAAATGTTAAATGATACACAGCACAGCACACTATATTATGATTTAGGTGTTTTTTTGCTCATAATACGACTATTGATGTTTTTCAATTCCTTTATTTGAATATGGTTGAGGATGTTTCCTAATGAAAATATCGTTTTAAATTTCCATTGTCTAAGAAAGCATTAACAAATTTAAATATATGAGAAGAAAACGTAATGAAATATCATAAAATATTACATTTCCAGAGGAATAAAGGAAAAATATGAAATATAAAAGTATGAGAAAACCAATTTGTGAATAAATGAATCATTGTGATCTGAGATGAAAATAAATTAAGATAAATGAATTATCACCCAAAAATGATTGTGTATATCAACAACTAAGAATACCTTTGAAATATTTTTCTAAAATTTTCATCATCAATTTCTTCAATTTTTGATTTCAATTGTTTGAAAATATTGACATTTTACATTTTTTTAACTCATTCATTAATTCATTTCAATTTCAGGTCAGATGTTTTGAAAATTAGCATTTTTGATCAATTGATTTTGTGCTTTGTTATACATATTACTTAGAATTTTTAGGTTTATACATTCAACATTTGAAGTTCATATCAAACTCTATATTCTTCAATTGCTCTCATTTTTCGATATTTTTTCCTTTTTCAACCCATTCATCTGCATATATCAGTCCCGCTATTTTTCTTCTCCTCGTAGATTTTCAAATTTGCTGATTTTTTTTAAACAATGAAAGTCTATACCTCTAATTTCATTCAATTCCATGTTACAACTAAATTGTAATTGGCGAAGATTATTTGTTTCGACACTAAATGAACCATTACTTCTGATGGCATATAATTTGAAACCATGGAAAATATACCATTTCTTGCATTTTCCGATGGAAAATTTACAAAATCAATTATTTTTGTAAGAGCATCATGTTTCAATTCATTGAATCACGTATCACACCATGATACGTTTCCGCATAAATATTTTTATTGTTCTGTTCGTTCTAGTAGGTACGTTATGGTGCTTCTACGACAACTACATTGAAATAAATCCCCGCGCCATATTTTACGCCTATATTGCATAAAATTTCTACAGACTCGAAAAAACGACGTCAGGTTCAAAATAAAAAATCGGTACTTTCAACACAAACCGATTCACGTGGGCCTTTCTGAAAGATACTGCTTCGAATACTGATCCGAGTTAGACCATTAGATATTTTTTCTGAAATCTTTCTAAACACAAACTTTGTTAGAAAAATAGAAATGAAGGTTAGAAAAATTGTTTCCAATCATTCATCTAGAAGAGTATACCATTAGAGTTGATAATAAGAGGAGATAGAAGAGCCGCCATTTTTACATACAAACGTCAAATTTTTCATGACACGTCAAACTATTCCACGCCACTTTTCTGTGTCCTATGGAGGTACCATTGAAAACACAGAACTTAAACAATAGGTCTCAGTTCTCTGGTGGTTTCATTAGTACGTTCGATAATTTAAAAACTGTTTTTCTTCTATTCGATCGATTTTTTAGTATCCCCTCCTATGAAATAGCATTGCAACATTTCCACAATTTACTTGACAAATGACATTCATATTCACAATGACGACCCCTTAACTTTGCGCTGTTGGTTGTCTCGCTGCAAAATAGTTTTTTTTTCAGGTATATGTTTCCTAAAAATCATTACACATGCATCATCAATAACTGACGCGATTGAAGATATACATTTATACGGCATCCTCTTCTTTTGCAACATATTTTTTTTCGAAACTACATGCACCATAAAGGCAAACAAATACATCACAACATTCACGAATTAACAAATGAATGTTTGCCAGATCGTGAAACGTTGTGAGAGCAGCAATCCTTCATGTAGCCACGTCATTTCATTTCAATTAGTTTGTCAACTTACTTCGGATTCAAATCGATGACACATGTGTATAGATCGTCGCGTACTTGGACCGGCATCCGGCAACATGTATCCAAAAACCCAACTCGAATCATACATGTTCTACAGTTTTGGCGTCTTTCTCGAAAAAACTAGTCCCTAAAAGTGCCGGAAAGGAGAGGAACACCTCCCGGCATACCCAAAAAGTTCGTTAACCTGCTCTACGATCGTCAGAGATTAATCGTATCGAGATCTTGAATGGGGGCTCTCGAAGAACCGCTGCTGCTACTTTCCTGCGTAGGGGGCGGCGTCGAGGCGGTGTTCTTGTGAGGGTGGCCGGCGTTGCTGCCGCCCGAGTTCATATTCAGTTTGTTGATAATGTTCGGTATGTTAAATTCCGGATTGGGGAGCTTCCGCATTATTTTGCCTGAGGTTATCAGCCTGCCGAAGCCTTCTTGGTGGGCGAAGGCGTATCCGGATCGTATCGACCTACAGAGAAAAATACGTCAGTTATCGTAACATCGATAAATATAAATTATTTTCAAAAGTAAAAATTTATTCAACAACAAAAAAGATATATTTGTTATACATCTGTGGAATGTGTTATCAGTAGATCACCAAAGCTGATTCTGTGACACCAGCCAATGAGAGCGCAGCAATTTGTCACATGAACAGTTTGTTCGGTTGGTTACGCTATCGGTGATAATGCAAAGTCGAACTCGCTTGGAATGAGAACCGCTACATACTTCGAGCCGCACTTCGAATTAATGAAATACATACATACAATCAAAATATTTTTCAACAAAACACAAACATTTCAAAATGACACTGACCTTCTGGCTCTCCTCGCTGACGGCGTCCTGAGCACGTCCTGGCTCTGCCTGGACCTGACCTGCGCCATCCGCTGTTTCAGCCTGACCCTGTCCGAGAGCGTCGGAAAGACGTCGACGAAGTAAAAGCGCCACGCGAGCACCGGCATGATCGAGATGATGACGACGAGCACGGTGGTGAACCAGAAGTTCGCCCCAGACATCGCCTTTGTCAGCGAGCCGACGTAAGGGCCATTGAACACGTAGTTGTAGAAGTTGTCAGCCAGGAAGTAGAACGCCAGTGAGCCCCATATCATCACGTGGTTGATTACGGTCCAGTACATCGTGTCCAAGGCGATCTATGGAACAAACAGATTTAAGAGATACATTACTGGAGTTTTTTCCAACACCAAACCGTTATTTCAACACCTCGACACGTGTTTCGATCACAAAATGTTCATCTTCAAGAGGAAGATCAGTTTGATCGTCCTCTTGAAGATGATCAATTGGTAGATTTATATTTTTACCAGTATCACTCTGTTTCCTGACGATATGACAATCCACTGAAATGCAAAAACTCATTGGAGTTATATAAAACGATATCATCAAAAAAAAAGTGAAAATTGCTGACATACATTAGAAATGTCTACTCCAATCTCACGCTTGGAATAGGGCTGGACATAGCAGATCACCTCCAACAGATCACCTGCCCCTGCAGGGGCAGCACTTCCTGGCCCTGCAGGAAAGCTCCCTCACTTGTGCACCTCCACAGAGGGAACCCAAAGAAGGTTGAAGAAGCCGCTCAACGACAGAAATGTCGCTACACCTTCCAAAACCTTTGCGGTGGTCACCGTGAGACACCTCAAGGTTGCCAAAGAGAGTGTGTGTTTGGCGAGTCTTGGCCTACACCTGTCAATATTAAGGAGATGTCTCCTAGTGATCTGTTCACCTTCCTGGAAAGGATAGGATGGACGATGACCTAGGAGGACAACTCCTCGGGAGGATGTACAATGGGTCACATGTGGCCTAAGTGCTGTGCGTCTAAACAAACCCTCCCTACTCTACAGATACCAGATGCCGACATGCTAATGTATTATTGTTGATTATTTACTCACCTGAGCCGAGTTCACAATCACCAGAATAGCAGCAGTCACACTGCAAAACAACATATAATCAGAGAGACCCTGGCCATTGGGACTAACGGCATCATAGTAAGTACCTGAAAACATAATTGATCTTTTCAAATTCATCATTAATGATAAATATTTCAATATGATGAAAGAATGCACTCAACATTTATTGACAGAAATATCATAGAATTGACTTATTTAAAAAACACACTTTAATGTGAGAATTCCATTTGAGAGTTTCCAAAACCTCAACACGTGTTTCGCTATAGAATAGCATCTTCAGGAATCACAATACTCTTTGAACAAATTTGGTATCACGCTTTTATAGTAATTTGAATCATTATTACTATTACTAGTCAACAAATTTCTACATGGTACTGATATGTAGTAAATTTGAGAAAATTCTTCAAAATGTACAAGTATACAAGTTGATTTGTGGTTCTTGTCCGATATGAAATTTCGGACAAGAACGGAAAGAAATGTTATCAAAAGAATAAAAAAGCATAGAAGTAGTTTCTTCAAACGGTTTCATTTAGCTTGCCCTGTTTGTTTGGGCCAAATTTAGCAATGAACCTTTTTCCTGAAGTACGAAAAATCACTCACCAGCAGCGCTAGTAGTTCGGTAGGGACAAACACTGCCTAATCCTCATATAAACAGATGGTAAAGTACAATTAAAAAAGAATGTTTTTAACAGAAGAAGATGTTCCTGGAGCAAAACTGAAATTTGCAACTGTGAAGGATAACAATGTTGTAACATTAAAACGTTGGCTTGNGTTAAACCAAATGTTATACAAATTTTATGTACCCCCTTTAAGGGGCTGTATCTTAACAAGGGATGCTCCAATGAAGTTTCTTTATATGAAAGATCCTATCTTTTTTTCGATGAGGAATCACCTCCTTGAATGTTTAACACTTATTCAGTTACACCCTGTATAACCATCTTCCAGATCATTTGAAGGCCTTGAATAGTTTATCTGTGCTCAAAAAATCATTAAAAAAATATTTATTAGAGAAATGTTTTTATGCTGTGCAGGAATTTTTTAAATAACTCATATTCATCTTAGTTTCAGAGTAGGAGCCTGTCTTCTCTTTTTCTTTTCCTTTTTAATTTGTACTTTGTATTGAACTTCTCTCCTGAGGATTTTGCCTTAAGTATATATACAGTAGAATCTCACTAATCCGGCAATTAGAATAGAATAGAATATTTTTATTGTTGTTAAATTAAACATCAAGTTTTTACACAGGTCAATATAGCACATATACACATAAATAAATAAGTACCATTCTGATCATTCCCATTTTGATTTCAATCTAAGAGCCACCGGTAGACAGCTGTTTCAGCCTATTGGGCATCGTTAGTACCGGGCAGGCGGTCCTCGATTGAAGACAAAATGAGAAAAACCAAGTATTTAATAGAAATAACTGCATAAACGCAAGCGAGACATGAGTGGAACCACCTATTGGTGTGACACCCAAGTCAACTTGTCAAGTTTTTATGTCAGTGTTGGTGGTTTGACCAATCAACCGACAACTGCGGTGGCAGAAATTTGAAAAGCTAACCTGGAATGTATCAGACATAGAGTTTGTTTTCAAATATTCAGAATTTCTTATGTTTGCTGCCTTTTCCATGTGGTTTAGAAATAATTTGTTGAGGTAAACATTGATAAGTGTCAAATAATTATATTCGCTAAAATTAGAAGTCCAACATTCTTTGAATATACATTGAATAATGTAGCTCTTAAAAGAGAAACATTTATTCGTGTTCTGGGAGTTAAATTTGAGAGCAAAATTAATTTCAATCTTCAAATATCAAAAATTGTGGCAAAAAGTCTCAAAATGCTGGGTTTTGTGTTGAGAATTTCTACTGATTTTTCAATTGAAATAAAAAAGGTTTTATATTGTGCTTTCGTATGCCAAATAAATCTGATATGGGACCCACACTATAATATAAATATCGATTTGATTGACAATGTTCAATAGAAATTATTAAAGAATTGTGTTTCTCACTTTGGTATTCAACGAAATGTTAAATTTAAAATCATTGGAAAATAGGAGAATTTCTATGAACTTGAGTTTCCTCTTCAAATTAATAAATGGTGAGATAAACTGCCCTAATAACTTTTCATATTAAACAAAAAGATACGAGACATCCTGACATTTTTCATATAGATTTTTTCCATACCAATTATGCTTTGAACAGTCCGATGCCTCGTATTTTGAAACTGGGAAATCAATATCATAATATCTTAGATCTGTTTAATGTATCACTTCAGGTCTTTGAAAATCAATTGAAAAGGCTGTAGCGTTTCCGAAGCTTTTCTTTACCTTACCATTTTCTTTGTAAGCACCAGATTTGTTACATCTTTTTTCTTGTAAGTACCAGAATTGTTTCATCTTTTTGTAATATAGTCACTAAACATAAGGATTTATTAATATTTTGTATATCACATTTTGCTCAATGTTTTGTAAAATTGTAAATTGTAATGTCGACATCAGACATGAGCAATTAAAAATACTTTGTAGTTCCTCACACTTGGTTAAATATGTTTTTGTAAATTGGCTTTGCCGTTGAATAAATAAATGAATGAATAAATAAATCCTCAGTTTATTCTTTTTATAATTATACTTTCAATTGACCTAGACTCTTTACTTTTATTTTAAGTAGATGGTTTCATCTTTGTAACTCTGAACACAGATTTCTGTATTCCTGACTTGCTATAAATATAATATAGTATGTAAAATAGTGAAATTAAGTAATCTACTCAACTCCATCTACCGCAGTAGTAGACGAAACGTCAGGCATAAAACCCTGCAGATATATTTTCACATTCACTCCAAAAAAGTCAAGTTAACTAACCTTTTATCATCGAGACATCATTAGCGCCATCGCCTATTGCCAAAGTAACGGCGTGCCTACTCTTCTTCACCAACTCCACGACGAGAGCTTTCTGCAGAGGCGTCACGCGGCAACAAATCACCGACTTGCACTGCATCACGATCTCCAGAAAGAGCCTCTCCATCTGCGGATGCAGGCAGTGCACCAGCGAATGCCCGTTGATGACGATGGCGAATCCCGCCGAGGATTCTTCGTGGTGCTCTTCCGTTCCGCCGTAGTATTCCAGTTCGGTGCTGCAAAGTCAGTGTTCAATTATTCGATTCGGTGGTCGATGCAAATTCTCCCAGTGTTCCGTTGAATTGATTGTTTTCAATGTGAAACACGCAATTCAGGCAACAGACGTAAGGTCGTCTAACGATTTCTCTAGAATGACTGTGGAAACTTTTCTTGTCGGTAAACCCTTTTATTACTCTACAGTAGTCTTTCTCAAAGTGGGCGATAGCGCCCCCTTGTGGACAGTAAAGGGCACAGAGAATATTGAGGGGCGTTAAAGCGGTTTAGGGGGACAATGGCTAATTTAAAAATGTTTTTTTGCTTTCAACACAAAGTTTACCGCTCCTTTAAGCTTAACGCGCGTTTCCTCGTGTAACGCCATCTAGGACGTTAGGGCGATCAGAAATAAATTCCACTGAAGAATATTATATCAGCTGCTACGGATATCGCTCCGGCTATGACAGGATGTCACAAAGGCTTCATAGCGTACTTAAAAAATAACATTCCAGATGTGCTCGTTGTACATTGCGTCATTCATATGCAACACTTGATTGCGAAAAATTTGAGTGAGCGCCTCTCTCAATCACTGCAATATATCATCAAAGCAGTCAATAAAATCCGAAACAGCTCTTTAAATGATAGGCGCACGTGTCTATAAAAAAATACTTTTTTCAAATGAAGAAATATATGTAAAGTGAGTTCGAATTATATCAAGGAGGTTACGCACAGCGCCATCTACTCGCGAAAATATCCAGCAATAATGTCGATATATGAAGGAGGTTACGTGGAGCGCCATCTGCCCGCGAATAGATCAGGCAGTAATGTCGATATATCAAGGAGGTTACGCACAGCGCCATCACAATCACCTGATCACTCCTGTCGAATGTTTTTCAAAGAATACAAAATATCAACAGTCACTGGCATATACATTCTTGAGCTATGGACATACATACATGGCAATCGAAACACCTTTTCAAGAAATAGCGATACTCATAATACAAGGAAAAAAGTTAACTTTTACGTGCCTTTCAAAAACCTCGAGTTATCAAAAAAAGCACCAAATACTTTTGGTTTGTACTTATACAACTTTCTCCAATACAATCTAAGAAGTCTGCCAACTTATACATTTAAAAGACAACTGAAAAAAGTTTTGATAGATCTGTGTTTTTACTCAATTCAAGAATTCCCAGAATTGATTTAGTTTCAATTTCATACCATTTACCTTACAGTTTTGGGTATACGCTTATATACTCTCCATGTTTGTTTTAATTGTAGGATTTTTTTTCAAATTGACTTGTCCTGTAACTTTGTAACTTCCACAGGATTAAATAAATGATTAGATTGTCTCAAAATGAACCTCGAGATCAAAGGAACACTGGGAAATCGATTCATTTTCAATAAATGTTCTAAGAAAGAGACTAAGAAATGGAATTCAGATGTTAATAAGTTGACAACAGTTCAATCAATTAATACTCGCTGGAGAGACGCAAAAAAGTGAAAAGAGTAACGGATAAATATCCAAACTGGAGGCTACTGATGAACCCAACCATGAAACAGAATTAAACTGTATTAAAAATAAGCGCTTAGCGTATTAGAGAGCAGGTAGATTATTGTGTTCACAAAACACATAAGTAATTCTAATCTAGTGCGATGAATTGTCTACTCTAGTTGAAAAATTGAGCAGGCAGGATTCTCACAATCAGTTTGTATATTTTCAAAATAGTTGGGAGCTGGTTGATTTTTATAAACGAGGAAAATTGTCTACACCTACATGTACACCTAGCGGTGTATTGATATGTATCGAGGGTATTGAGTGACTCGAAGTTTGTTGAAATATAAGAACTGATATGAAATAAACTGTCCAAATATATAATTTACAAAAGTTAACAGACAACCCTATTAGAAAATTGCATATCAGAACTACTTCAAGTGTATTATATCTGCGGGGAATTACTTTGAAGGGGACAAAAGAGAAATTAATGAATAAATGAATATTTTTTGAGAAAAATGCAAATTCTATATACTTTTCGAACAAACCTTGTGAGTTATTGGTTTTCTCTTTCAACTATACTTCAAAAGTTACATTTTCATCAAAATTTTTCCTAATATAATCCTGCATTTCCAGACGATATAAAAGTGTACAACAATGTATCAGTGTTTTGAGATATTTTTAAACTTGTTTAGTCAGGCATCTTCTGATGATGCAAACTTGTGTAAGACAAGGTCTCCAAATCTGACCAATGTACAATTCAAGAAAGCAGTTAGAAATTTGCTAGCTGATAGACTCTATTATAGCCTACAAGGATATTTTAATGAATCATTTTAAAAAACGTGTATTCCATTTTATTTTTATTGTATTTGTACTTGCTTTTGTAAATTACCAGTTTTTGTGATACACTGTTTGGAACCTTTGATGAACACCAAACCATTATTTTAACACCTCGACACATGTTTCGATCACCAAGTGATCATCTTCATTTTAAAACAAGCACATCATTCAAGAGAAAAAAAAATTGGGATATATATTAAAAATAATTAAGTAACTGTTATATAGGGAACGTTCCTCCTGACAAAAATCAAGTAGTTTTCATAAAAGAGCTCTAAAACAACGCATTTTAAACTTATCATTTCAACCTTTTTCTTTAAAAAATTATTTGAATACTTAAAAAAGAGGAATTTATATTTTTACTTACAAATCTTTGTCAATGGGATGCAAAATCTTCTGACAATAAAGTATATTTTGATTTGATTGATAGTAAACTTGTTAGTTAACTGCCACGAACCAATTTCTACTGAAAAAAACAACCTCTCCCAGTCACCAACTTCAAAAAACTCCCATCCTGCCTGCCATCTAATCTATCAAAACTCATAATAGCGAGAGAACAGCCGTGTTAGTACCCGGTGAACGATGAAATTTAGACTACATTCTCCGAGAAGGTGCGAAAAGAGAAAACGAAAAGAAAAAAAAGTGGGCCAACAGCGCTGCGAAAAATAAAGAGCCTGCCCGTTACGTCTACCTTGCTCTCGTATTGTCACCGTTTTGAATGTCATCGTCAAACCTGAAAGTGACGACGCTGATCGCCGGCGGGTTCGTCTGGCGGGGGGCGGAGGCGTCGGGGGCCCTTTCGGCGGTGTGGACTCGCCCGTTCGGAGCCTGATTGGCGGCGGGGACGGTAGCAGCTTGGGGGCTGCGCGGCTGGAACTTGTGAACTATCTTGATGTTCTCGCGGAACTTCAGCAGTTGCTGGTGGACCTCGTCGTAGGAGGAGGCGTCCACTATGAATATGTCGACCAGGTCGTCGGTCAGGAGTTGGCACGAGTATCCAATGTTGATGGCAGTTTCTGGAATGAAACAGTAAATTTCATGCTGAAAAAACTTCACTACACGTCACGAAATGTAATAATAATAATAATAACGGAATTGTCAGTTTTTTCAGTTCTGTCTTGAATTTCGTGTAACTCCATTTTTTGATATTGTTAGGAACGTGTTTGTTTCATGATTTATGCTTTACAGTTCATTTAATAGTTATTTCAAATTGAGAAACAGTGCACTTTGTTTCAGCTTTCTAAATACCGTTGTTCTCGCGTAATTAATCATTAAAAATCGGACTTTCTAGGCCCGTGACGTCACGGGCCTAGTCCCGCTTCTTGTTCGATTGACCAATAGGAACAATTCAAATAATCAACATTGCCAAATCGTAAAATTAACGGAGTGTACAAACAGTTTAGGATTCACTCGTGATTCAAAATGAAATCACAGTCACTTTCGACAACTAAATCTAAGAAACAAGTGCAAGAAATGCATTGGAAGAGAAAATTAATTATACATGGGATTCAAATAACACAAAACGCAATAAAAACGTTATTTTAATAATATTTCCGGCAGTTGACATTTTCATGTTCATATCACAAAAATTTAAGTAAGTGTATACCTGTTTCTGTTTAAAATCTGTTTTTTCGTTAACCAGCTGTCGCACCCCTACAAACAACAACCCTCAGAAATCGAAACTTGTGCGAGCTAAGGACTAACGAGGTCTTACCATTTAACGAGTGATTCCTAACACCCATTAACTTTTGAATTAATTAAAAAATTCTCCACGTTAAATAAAATATACACAAAAACCATGGTTGGAAATGACCTAACCTACCTTTTATAAAAGGAAAGGTTCTTTAATTATAAAGAAAATTGTAACAAACAAATCAGATTATAACAGTTGAATTCACACTGAGCTGACAACAATAACAACAAAAATGACGTCTGTCAAATTGGATCACTATATTTTAGTTCTGTGAATGGATATCAAAAACCAAAACATTCGGCAACACCGCTGTAGACATGACAAGGGGCAAATTTAAACTCTTGCTTCTCAAATTGTTCTTTTTTCTGCAAATATAAAAAGATCTTGGGACCGATTAGGCTTGGAAAGTATAATATACCCCTAAATCGATCGTTCTATAAGCAAACCAGTATCGTTTTCAATAGCATGAAACAAGCCCATAGTTGAACAGAGAATTTGAACAGCGAAACTATTAGTTAACGACTTGAAATGGAACTTTAATAAACTTAATAACTTTACAAAACCAAAACGTGACAGTATCGCAAAGACAACTACACACATCGGAAAAGTCTAGGGATATTTTTATAACATACTAAATATCATAAAAATAAATGCATGAGGTCGTTTAATTTTCCGAATCAGGTTTTTAGAGTTCGGCAGAGCCGTACTCTTACCATCTGATTTGAAAGACCACTCACCATACAAACTAATCGGCTTCGTCAAGAAGCTGGGTTAATTTGAACGAGTTTTAATAAGTGTGAACCACAATAAACCCTTGCGGGTTGCGGTGAAGGGTCGAATAGTCCCACTCACTTTGAACCTAACCTAACAACAAGCGCTTTCGACAGCTGGTCCTGTTGTCATCGTCAAGGCTCTACCAAACTGCAGTTTGAGTAGAGCAATATTAACATTTGTTCACAAACAGGATTTGAAGCTTCAATAACTTCTAATTGTTATAAGCGAGCGCTTTCGCTAGCAGAGTGTGCGATCATCTTCATGGCTCTACTCAAACTGAACGTTTTATCTTCTTGTTTGTTCTTTTATACGATTAGAACGCCTAGTGCAGGTATTTGTCCTCTTCTTTCATCCGGAGGTCTCTCTAAGTTTGCCCGTATACCTGTACAGATATACAGGCTCTTCACTGGTAGAACCTTCACAACAAGGACCAGGCAAAAATGGCCTTCGCCGACTTCATCGAGTCACACAACTTTTATGCTGACAGAATTAACCGACTTGTGTTACGTTGGCAAAAGTACACTGATTCAAATGAGACTCATTAAGATTAGGCAGACTCATAAAAACGAACAGAACATTCGAAATAATAATATTTGTACATAATAGACTTCTTGATGTAGCCAAGAGTTTGTAAATGGTCGAGTTCAAACAAGAATTATCAGTGCCAACTGTTGAATTTACAATAGTCCACAGTTCCCATTAAATATGATTTTACATTCTATGAAATTCATTGAAAGTAACTTTGAAACCGTCTATTGAGAGATGCAATGATTTTGTCATATGGTAAAATCGGAGGCTTAAGCAACAAATCTTGACAAAACCCATAATCTAAACTCACCCTGTTTATCCCCTGTGAGCACCCAGATCTTAATCCCCGCCAAGATGAGGTTAGCTATCGTCTGAGGCACGCCGTCTTGCAGTTTATCCTCTATCGCTGTCACGCCTATTAAATCCATATCTCTTTCGATCTCTTCGTAGATGGCATCGAGCTTCTCATCTCTCCCTTCCATCGAGATGGCTGCCTCTTGATGCCTCTGCTTCCAGTTATTGAAGAATTCCTCGTTCAAATCGCAGGACGCCAAACAAAGAGTCCTCAAACCTTCGCCGGCGAATTTCTAGAAAATGCAAGGTACAATCATAACATATGAGAAATACTCTTTGAGAGACATTATTTTTTGTGAGAATTGAATGAATCTAGATCAATAGAGAATCTGCTCTCAAGTCTTAGTCATAAGTCAGATCCCACATCAAATACTGTTCTCTTGTTTGAAACCCTCATTACATCCACTTCCAAAACACAATCACTGAAAAACACATCAGTGAAAATCAATTCGGCTTCCAGAATAATAAAAATACGCAAGATGCTATTTTCTCATTTCTGAATAAAGTTTATTCTGAGATAAATGTCGTTGAAAAGACTGCCGTGGTATTTTGTGACCTGTCAAAGGCATTTGACTGCGTTGATCACAAAATACTGCTGAGAAAGCTCCAACGTTATGGATACGGAGGAGTAACTCACAAATGGTTCGATTCCTACTTAATGGGACGGACGCAAATGGTCAAAACA